TTAATATGACAATGTTAATGTATTTGGTCTTGGCGGAACAGATCTGCTATGCTGCTGCTGGTTATTGCTGTAGTTGTAGATTATTGCTGCTGCTGCAAGCAAGTACAGGAACTTGCTACTGCCAATCCGTATGGTGATACGGTGCCATGAGTATTTAAGACATACTGCTGCTGCACAAATAGCATATAAAATAACCCCGTAGCAGATCTATACAGGTGGAGCTGGGGAAGGTGGAGGGTTTCAGAGAACTCTGAAAGCGCGCTGCAGGAATCTCAAGTGAATGCTAGCCAGCCATATAAATGCAAGGCAGTAAGCTCATTGGCTGCATATGCAGCATGAACCAATCAGCCTTTTAACTCTCTGAATATCATCGTTACGTTAACACCCCGTCAGAATGCGCCGTCTAGAGTTTCATGACTGAACTATAAATATATATATATATCTCGATTTTAATCGATTCTCTTTTTTACGAAACGATATCGATTCTTAAATCCCAAGAATCAATTAGTCCTGTTTTCAGTTAATGGACGGAACGTTGAAGGGCACCTCCCATCCAATATATCGCAATAAGCATTGTGTATATCACAATAAGCATTGTGCTTTGGTGCTTTTAATATGAAACAAAGTCTCAGATTTCAATTTCTGTCCGTTGTATTGCAGTATTCAAACAATAAATGCCGTTTTGGCACTGTTTAATGTGGAGTGACAGATCGTTGTAGTGCCTCGATCATCAGACGCGGCAGCGCGAGGCGCACGTGAACTGATCATCTCCTCCACATTAATACAAGTTTCAGCACAAAATAAACATGACTAAACATCCGAAGGTAAGTTAAAAGAAAGAGTACAACTTTACAATCCGTATCCTGTCTCACGTAATCGCTCAATAAGTGTTTCAGCCGCACAAAGATGTCAATAACGGCTTCTAAACAATGTCACGTAACGTCACCTCAGAAAAAAACATATTCGGTGACCATAAACGCATTAGTCAGCTAGAAAAATAAACTGTAGAGAGGGGTATTTTGCTAAATACATGCACCATATAAATGTATTATAATTTTTACTTTTCTTCAATGTTTAAGTTTTTTTTTGTTTTATGACAGCCACCATTTAAATGTTAAAAAAAATTAATTGAAGTAGAAATATTATGTAATTGTAACTTTTATTATAAAAACTTCATTAAGTGTAATTTAAGCCAGTTGTATAGCCTAAAAAATCAGTCAGTTTTAACCTTCAATATTATAGTAATGTAGTACCAACTGACTCGTGTATATTTTACAGCATTAGTTAAGAGAATTTTTTTCCTTGAGAAAATTTGGCATGTGTACCTGATATAAATCCAAAATAATCGATATTAAATTGAATCGAATCGAATCGCAAGCTTGTGAATGAGAATCGAATCGAATCGTGAAATTTGTGTCAAAACCCAGCCCTA